AAGTGTTCGTTGAAGCGGCCAATTTACTTCTCACTTACAAAGGTGATTCTCCTATAAAGAGTATTCTGCCTTACTCCACCCGTAGGTATAAAAATCATTAAAAGTCCTTGACTTAACCTCACCACTTAGGCAGATTTTAACACTTGACGGTTCTTGGGAATGGGTGAAACTTTCAAGTGTTTCATTGAACTGTCAAAACTTAGTTTTCCCATTGAACCAAGGTTTCGGTATCTCTGATTCTCAAGGTTGGGTTACTGCTAAGACTGTTCTTATGTTGTGGATTTTAATCCCATCCCCCTAACCAACTTGTACATTTGATCTCGATTAATGCCTTTAGTAAGCGGAACCGCTAGGTTTTCCTTTGACTTCACGTAGTCAACCGAAATAACCCCACTCGAGATCATTTGTCTTATTGTATTATGCCTTCGACGTATATGTCGATACTTACCATTGTACAAGCTACTTTGTGCCCTTCCAATTGCCGATTGATTATCACAATGTATCATTACAGCGGGCACCGGTTTTGTCCAGCATGGAATATCTTCAAGGAAATTCCTAAGCCATTCAACTTCTTCCCCGGCTTTGTCCAAGGATATAAACTCGGACTCCATCGTGGATCTAGCAATACACGTTTGCTTAGAAGATTTCCATGACACCGCTCCTCCACCTATAGTGAACACAAAACCACTAGTGGACTTGGAGTCTTTTGTGTCGGATATCCAATTCGCATCACAATACCCTTCAAGTACCGCTGGATACCTCGTATATGTTATTCCATAACTCAAGGTATGTTTCAAATACCTAAGTACCCGAATAAGTGAATTCCAATGGTCATTGCTCGGGTTACTCGTGAACCTACTTAGTTTACTCACAGAATATGCTATATCGAGGCGAGTACAATTCATCAAGTACATCAAACTCCCAATTACTCGTGAGTATTCTAGTTGAGACACAAGTTCACCTCGATTTTTAGCTAGGTGTTGAGTTAAATCAACAGGCGTCTTAGCTGGAGGCTTATCGAATGCATTGAACCTCTTGAAGATGTTTTCGACATAATGGGATTGTGACAAAACAATTCCTTCCGAACTTTTAGAGATTTTAATCCCTAAGATTACATCGGCTTTTCCCATATCCTTTATGTCGAAATTATTTTTTAACATTTTCTTGGTACTAAGAATTAAACCATTATTTTTTCCCAAGATTAACATGTCATCACATTACAGGCATACGATCACGAATGAATCGACGTTACCTTTAATATAGACACATTTGTCACACTCGTTGATTTTAAATCCGTTCGACAACATCACTTTGTCAAACTTTTCGTGCCATTGCTTAGGTGCTTGTTTTAGCCCATAAAGCGACTTAACCAAGCGACACACTTTTTTCTCTTTACCAGGTGCAACGAACCCCTCGGGTTGTTTCATATAAATTTCCTCCTCGAGGTCTCCATTTAAGAAGGCCGTTTTCACATCCATTTGATAAATCTCAAGGTCATGTATTACAGCAATTGCAATGAGAACACGTATAGACGTGATTCGAGTTACAGGAGAATACGTATCAAAGAAATCATATCCCTCTGTTTGCTTAAACCCTTTTACAACCAATCGGGCCTTATATTTATCAATAGTTCCATCAGCTTTATACTTCCTTTTAAGGATCCATTTACATCCTAAAGGTTTGCTACCCGGTGGGAGATCAACCAACTCCCAAGTATTATTGTGCATAATGGATTCAATCTCACTATTGATGGCTTCTTTCCAAAAGGGAGCATCCGGACTTGTCAAAGCCTCTCGAATGGTTCTCGGTTCGTTTTCTAACACATAAGTTAGAAATTCAGGACCAAAAGACTTAGGTACTTTTGTTCTCTTACTACGCCTTGGCTCATCCTCAATTTCTTGAGGTAGCTTGGCCTCTTCAAATGTCCTTTTTCTCGGAATTATTTCTTCCTTGTCTTTACGATGAAAAAATATTCTCAAAGAACACCGCATTTCGAGACTCAATAGTTGTTCCGTTATGAATCTCCAAAATTTCTGATTTGTGCACCAAAAATGGATAAGCACTACTATTGTTTGCATAACCAATAAATATACAATCAATAGTCTTTGGTCCAATTTTTAATTGTTTCGGTTTAGGTATTTCAACCTTTGCCAAACATCCCCACACTTTTAAGTATTTGTAGGTAGGTCTATTGTAACGCCCCACTTTTATTTGCCGAAAATCAGAATAAATTTTTCAAATTTATTTCAAAACACTAGAGGCGCTACTCATTTTCAAAACAAGTTTTAATAATGACATAAATGCAACACCCAAACGGGTTCACTAATCATGTCAACACCCAAACCGGGTTCTTTAATAACATCAATTCCCAAACTGGGTTTCTCAATTTCATAAATACTAGGGAGCACACTCCCTATCAATAATCCGATACTCAACGTAAATCAGAAATGCATAAACGATAATAAGCAGTTCATATAGCGGAAGCAAAATCATCAATATGACCACCACTCGCATCCCTCTGTCGTGCCCGCGCAAACTAACCTGCATCAATGAAGAGCAGGTGGGGATGAGCACAAGAGGAACAATAGTGCTCACCACTATGCAGTAAATAACAACAAAATATAATAAGAGTATGGTCACAGCATGATTATAAATCCATTCATCATGTCACATCTCCAATCA